CAGATGTATGCCTGGTTGCCACAGAGAAAGAATCCCCTGCTTCTGGTCCTATACAGGCAATCATATGGTAAGTGGCAAACTTTAGGAAGTCCTAGTGGCACAGCAACATGATGAGTCATTGCTATGGCAGTTGCTTCCATTGGGTGCAAGGAGTGGTGATGGTTAGTAGAGGGTGGGACTGGAATAGTGATAATTATGTAACAGGTGGTACAGGGCAACGAACCCACATCATGGGAAGAGGGGAAGGAAGCATGCATGATGCATAAATGGGCTTGAACAATCAGCAAGGCCATAGCAAAAATGCCCTGGACAGGCATAACAGATGGAACCATCAGTGTTTTCCCCCTTGCCAAGTTGGCCTTATTTCCTGGGAACTCCAGAAGACGTGTCTCTCCTGGGCTTCTCTCAGGAAGGTTCTGGTCCATGTAAATAAGTCCATGGGCCTTTTCCCAGAGTTGGAAATACATGCCAGCCCTCAGGGGAGGAGTATGTACAGATCCAACATGAAGAGACATTGGGATTATATTTAAATAATAGGCTAGAAGACATGTTGATGAAAGCTATGTAAGAATTCTGGGAGGAGTGTGGGTGAGAGGTGTGTGGGGACTTGGACCACAAAAGGGAACCAGGTTAGAAGCAGCAGATGGTAGTAAAGCATCCTTCCCAGGAAAGGAATAAGGGAGCTGGGGGTCGGGGGAGCAGTGCTGTGGTACAGTAGGCTAAGCCTCCACCTGCAGCATCAGCATCCCATATGGATGCCAGTTTGAGTCCCGGCTGCTCCACTTCCAATCCAACTCCCTGCTGATGGCCTGGGAAAGCAGTAGAAGATGGCCAAGTGCTTGGGTTCCTGTACACACATGGGAGACCTGGAAAAAGCTCCTGGCTCCTGGCTCCTGCCTTCAAATTGGCCCAGCTCCAGCCATTGCAGTCATCTGGGGAGTGAACCAGTGGATGGAAGATTTTTCTCTTTCTCTGTCTCTCCCACTTTCTGTCTGTAACTCTGCCTCTCAAAAAACAAATCTTAAAAAAAAAAAAAAAAAAAAGAGAGAGAGAGAGAGAAGAACAAATTTTCAAGGGTTGCTGAAAGGTGAGTTTCCGAGCCTCAGGTATGAGATGGGTCACTGTGACCAGGATTCGCAGGCACTGGGGCCAGTCCTGATAAACCTCACCTCGTTGTTTAGAGAACTAGGCCACAGCAATGGTAGAGTCCCTGGCTTTGGGGGGAGTGCTTGTCCCTTAGAGCTGTGGATACAGAGAAGCGTCAGTTTATGTGGACAAGGAAGGCAAAAAGCCAGGGCATGAACAAACAGCTGCTGGCTTCCAAGGAAGCCCCACCCACTCTGCCAAAAACCTGGGCCCTGGAAGTGAGAGTCAAGGGGTCCCTGGATCAGAATCACAAAGCCTGTTGGCCCTTGACTGAAGCAGCTCTCCACTCAGCCAGGCATTGCTATGAAGGCCCAGGGTCCTTGTTGGATCATAAATTTCTGTGCTCTCCTATTGCTAGCTAGGTCGGTATTAACCTATGTGTGCAAGAGTGACTGAAGGACAAAGCAGAATTCTGTGTAGGCCGTCCTATAATTCAACAAGAGCAACCCAAATGAACCACAGCAAGCCCTTACCACGTGCCACACTTGCAGGCACAACCACCATTTGGGAGAATGACCCAAAACAAGAACGCTGCTTTTCTGTGAATCAACCCAGTCTCGATCGGATGCTGCTCGCAAGCTGATGGAGCACCCAGAATTCAACATCGGATGTCTGACTCTTCAAACAACTGGTTCAAGAGCCCTCCTGGCTACCTTGACTGGTGTTCCTTTTCACCCTTCATAACGATTATCTCTTCTTGTTCATCTAGGGCCACGCGCCCTTCAGCTATGGAAACGGTTCATTCACTCAGGGGTCCAACACGTCATTCATCCCCTTGTCCACAATATCCGGCTAAAAGGCGCTCAATTCCGGCTCCACTGATGCCTGCACAGGGAGAGGGGAGAAACCACTCCCTAACCACGCCCCCGTCAGCTGACGTAGCCATGGAGACGGCGTCCCCCACCCCCGTCCCTGTTTCTCCCTCCCCCCGAGCTCGTCTACGTAACGCAAAAGTTTTTTTTTTCTTTTTTTCTTTCTACATATGTATTAAAGTGCTGGGTCTGTGAGAACACTGGGCCTGAACCCCCATGCCTTTTGAAACTGGGCTCAGATAGTTCATCCAAAAGCTACTGGAATGTTTTCTGTTCTAGAAAGCCCTGCGCTGGGGGTTGCCACGTACTGCAGGAGCCTTTCCACCCGCCCTATCAGGGTCCCCGTGGTGCTCTGCACCTCCCCCAACAAGCAGCTTACACAGGGATGCAGCCGGCTGCTCAAACGGAGCGAAGCCTTCTCCCAGGCAGGCTCAACCCCACTCTCTCTTTACTCCCCTTCTGTCCCCTCTAAAATAAAGTCTTCTCTAACCAGCCGTCTCTGCTCCTTCTTCAAACCCTAAGACCTAACAGGAAGGAAGGAAGAGAAGGGGGGAGAGGGGTTGGTTCCAGATGCCAGCTTCAGGGAATAATTCAGTATTTTTCAAGGAAAATCCTCTCACTTCGGTGCTTCTGGTTAATGCCAGAGGCAACCCTCTGATTTAAACTTAGGAAAGTAGGCCTCCTTTTGACAATGAGTCTTTTTACTCCTTCTACAGCTCATCCCACACCATTTCAAAACTTGCTGTTATGCAGAACAATGAGACCTTAAGAGATGTACAGAGCTACACAGTTATCCCAATCGAAACCTCTTCTAAAAACATCAAAAAGTCAACCCCCCCAAAGACCAGGCAGTTAATGCAACCCAAAGGGGCTAGGAGCAGGGGCTACACACCAGGAACGCTCTCCACGGAGAGGGGCCACAGACCCCTGGGTCAGCCTCAGGACTGGGTGTGGAGGGCGGGGATTTGGAGGAGGCATGGAAGGTGTAGACAGAGGAGATGGGGGAAAGGGGAGAGAGAACAGACGGTTAGGGGGAGAAGAGACAGGCACAGGAGCAGAGATGGCAGAACAGAGAGGTGAAGGCACGCCTACGTGGAGAACAGTAAGATGGGCTGCTGCCTGCACTGAGAAACTCCACAGACTGAGAGCAATTTCAGACCAAGCGCATTCATTAGTAACCGAGTGTTTATCTCGTGGCAAAGCCTTGACTGACCCTAAGCGGTTCAGTGAGCTTCCGAGGACTGAAGAAAAAGACTGTAACCACAGTAAGGGGGAGACGGTAACAGGACATCCAGGGCGAACCAATCTGACTGCAACGAGACTTTTTTCCACGTGGAGTATTTTCACAGAGTTACTTTTAAGTGACTTTGAACATGAAGAATTTTACATGTTAAACAGGGAGGAAGGTTTAAACAGGTGACAAAAAAAAAAAAAGGCAAGAGAAAATTCTTAAATGGTAAAAGTACAATCCAATATAACATTTTTAAATTAGATTTTACGATGGTTTCAGAAAGTTTTATTGAAAGAGAGGAGCCATATTTTTCTTGATGGCTGTATTTACTTTTTACTTTAATACATGACCATTTTGACCATCCAATAGATAGCATGAGGGTTTTTGGCAGCCCAACTACATGCACAAAGAATAACAAAGAAAGTTATACCCAGTGCCAAGCATAATGGCATTTTTATAATTGCATTGAAAGGGAAGACTAAATCCAATTGAAAATTTGCGATGATTCTTTGAAATTAAAAATATGTCTTATGTTTCTAACAGAGGCTAAAAATAATGTATAAGTACAGATAAAGAGAAGAAACCCATGTAATTACAATTACAAATATTAAAATCAATAAACCTTGTATATGAAGTAAATATGGGACTTATTGAGAGAAAGAAAATATAGATTATTAAGCAAGGTTGATATTCCTGCTACTAGTATAATCACAATTTATTGAAATGGGCTTACTTCTGGTTCAACTTTCACTTAGGAAGCACTTTAATGTGATGGAAGAACTCTCAAGTTCATATTTCTCCCAGATGCTCAGGAATAGTTCATTTTTCTATACTGTGTGTTTTATTCAAAAGCAGAAAAACAAGGCATCAGGACTGGAAGCATTTTGCACAAGGACAAAAGCCTGTCTCGACTTTTCTCTGCTAGCCAAATTTCTTTTGAGGGTGTCATAATTAGAGTCCTGGCAAAACTAAGCCCACTGAAAATGCCTCCCAGGGTTTTATCCCTCTGGGATCCTGCATACCCTAAAGGTCTGTGCACAGCAACTGGACATTGAGTCAGCATTCAAAATGTTTGCATCCCTGATACTAAGCGAAACTTTCTAATATGACCTCGACAGTCCCTTCGCGCACTGCAGTTAATAGAATCCAAGAAACTCAGCAGAGATCAGTGCCCGTTAATTCCAGAAGGCATCTTCTGGCTCTAAGGCAGAGTACTAGGGGGCACTGACTTTTCCTGAGACAGCTCTCACATCAGCACAAACACAGAGCACCTCAAATGAATGCTGTCCACAAACACACCAGGGGAAACAGATGGAGTGACAGGCGATGAGTTTCAGGCTTCCCTTTGGCTCCCGGTCTCCAGCCAGTCAAAAACATCTGGCAAGTTTACTAGGCTTGAACCAAAATGATCCAGCTTCCAAATAAAATTGGCTTTTGTTTTATCTAAACAGGATTGGAACTCAGGTCTGCTCAGGCATGCAACTAGTCCAAAGAGTGCATTTCTCCAGCCTATGGGGCATCCCTGCCACACACACACACCCCATTACCCCCACCGTTACAGTAACTTCTCGGAATTTCTCCACTGAAAATGCATGTGAGACAGGTGGCTTCATCCGGTACCTCTCTGATGCTCTCAAAGCTATGAATCAAGTTGGCTAGCGGGGGACGGTGAGATCTGACCCCGCCTGCGAATGTGTTGAAATCAGACCTCACTGCCTCTGCAGACACAGTGGCAGCCCCTTCGATATTCAAGGGGTGCCACCTCCCTAGCCAAGCCCTGCCAGCACCCCCTGGGCGGGCGACAGACTCACCGGCCACTCTTGGTCACGATCATCTCGTTAGTGACTTCCTTGAACCTCTGCCAGAGCGGAGCATCCTCCAGGGTGATCTGAAGCTGCTTCTCTGTAGGGTCGCCTTTTTCCCTCCCTGCCTGAAGCTCACTCTCCACCACATTGAGCAGGCGAGAAACGGTGCCCTCGCTGGTCTTCTGTGAGCCCGGCTCACTCATGGCCTTAGGCCCCTCTCCAACTTTGCTAAGCGCCCTCGCCTACCTTGCCTGCCTCTCACCCTTTCCGTCCCTCTCTTGCCTGCTTTCTCACACCCAGCTGGACAGCGCCCAGGGAGCTGGAAGAAGACACCTCGGCTCTTGCCTAAGCTCCTAGTACAACACCTTTGAAAATCTCCAAATTATACCACCAACCTGTTAAGCTTTCGTTGGGGAGCAGGGTGGAGGGAGGGGAGAGGTGGGGAAGAAAAAGCCCTCTCTTAATTACTCATTGGATCAGGTGGAAGAGAGCCTGGCTTCCCCATTGGCTGCCGTGCCTAGAGTAGACGTTAAGAAGAGTACTCCATCCAAATTATCAGGCTTTTATCTTGTTGTACCTGAAGAGGTCTAATCAGTGTATTGAGGACCACTTTTCTGTTAATTAAAATTATTCCAGGCCCAGACTGCAACAATCAGGCAAATCATGTTTGTATATAAATCAAGGCATAAGGCACCTATAGTGATGGGGCCCTGGGATGGATCGGCAAACCTGAGGCCAACTCAGGCTGTCCTGATGCAGCGAGAGCCCAGGTCCCTGAGCTGTTCTCCAGCACCAGACAGACGATGGGGCCCTGGAGAACAGAACAGTGTACCTGGAAGGTCTAAGGCACAGTGCCAAGTGTTTCTCGACTGTTGTAGTAGCAGAGTAAAGGAAGATGTTCTGGAGACCACCACGAAAGGGGCAGAACTCAGGAGAAAAGAGCTAAGGACGCCTTTCTCCCAGGGTATCCCCTACTGGTCACCTCTGGCCTGTGGGGTCCCACACATACTCACTCTCTCTTCATCCCAAGGGCCCTGCTTGCCTCCAACAAGCAGAAGAGCTCTGAACCCTGAATCCAGAGCCACAATTTTTCTTATCATCAGCCCTGGTCAGAGGGAGAGGAAGAAAGCAGTTAGCATCATATTATTCTTTCTAAGAGCCCTGGTCTCTCTCTCTATTGTTGAGGAACAGTGATTTTTTTTTCTTCGAATTATTTGTTGAACTCTTTACTTAGTGTAGGGTTAATCTTATGAGTGCAAAGTAAACTGAAAATAGATCTTTGTACACATTAAGAGTTGGACTAGGAGAGGGAGGAGGAAGAAGGGTGGGAGCGTGGGTGGGAGGGAAGGTAGGGTGAGAAGTATCACTATGCTCCTAAATTCATATCTATGAAATACATGAGATTTATATACCTTACATAAAATTATTTTATAAAAGGAAACACTCTGGTCTCAGTGAGTAAAAATAAACTTGGGAAATTAGTATGTAGAGGGGACAGTGGGTAAAGCCACTGCCTGCAATGCCAGCATCCTATATGGGTACTGGTTCAAGTCCTGGCTGCTCCACTTCTCATCCAGCTCTCTGCTATGGCCTGGGAAAGCAATGGAAGATGGCTCAAGTGCTTAGGCCCCTGCACCAGCATGGGAAGACCCAGAGGAAGCTCCTGGCCCCGGCTTCAGATTGGCACAGCTCCAGCCATTGTAGCCAATTGGAGAGTGAACCAGTGGAATGAAGACCTCTTTCTCTGCCTTTCCTTCTTTCTCTGTGTAACTCTTTAGAATGAATACATAAATCTTTTATATACACTATATATATATATATATACTATAGAGTATATGTACACTATAGAGTACTACTCAGCTATAAAAAAATGAAATCCTGTCTTTCGCAACAAAATGGATGCAACTGTAAACCATTATACTTAGTGAAATAAGCCAGTCCCCAAAAGACAGATACTGTATGTTGTCCTTGATCTGGAGTAACTAATAGAGTATCTAAAACATAATGTATAGGTGCAAAAGTGACATTTGAGATGGGATGATTGTTTACAGCATTGTCTCTGTTGTTGAGGAATGTTTTTTTTTTTTTCCTTCATACTATTTGTTGACCTCTTAGTGTGGGGTTAACCTTATGAGTATAAAGTAAACCGAGGGGCCGGCACTATGGCATGGCAGTGGGGCCACCACCTACAATGCTGGCATCCCATGTGGGTACTGGTTCAAGTCCCGGCTGCTCCACTTCCTATCCAGCTCTCTGCTGTGGCCTGGGAGGGTAATGGAGGATGGTCCAATCCTTAGGCCCCTGCCCCCATGTGGGAGACACGGAGGAAGCTCCTGGCTTCACATCGGTGCAGCTGCAGCCATTGTGACCACCTGGGGAGTGAACCAGCAGATGAAGGATCTCTCTCTCTCTCTCTCTCTGCCTCTGCTGCTCTGTGGCTCTGCCTTTCAAATAAATAAATTTTAAAAATCTTTTTAAAAAAAAAGTAGACTGAAAGTAGATCTTTGCACAAATTAAGAGTGGGAACAGGAGGAGGAGGAGGAAGAAGGGTTGGAGCATGGATAGGAGGCAGCAGGGCCATGCGTCGGGTCCTATCCACTTCTGACATAGGAAACTACTGGAGAGTGTGAAGCAGGAGAAACGCATGATCCACTCTGCATTTTTTTTAAAACACCAGCTGATTTGTAGAGCATAGACTGGAAAAGGCATGAGTCGAAGTTAAGAGGGGCAGGCATTTTGCACTACAGTTAAGATGCTCACATCCCCCATTGGAGTGTCTGGGTTCAAGTTTCACCTTCACTTCTGAGCCAGCTTCCTAACGCACACTCTAGGAGGCAGCAGGGGTAGCTCAATTTGCAAGTCCTTGTCGCTCGTGTTAGACACCTGGATTGAGTTCCAGGCTCCTGGCTGGCCTGGCTGAGCCCCAGATACTGCAGTATTGGAGAAGTGAATCTCAGATAGAAGATCTCTCTCCTCTGTCTCTCTGCCTTTCAAATAAAAATACACAGATAAATTTTTTTTGACAGGCAAAGTGGACAGAGAGAGAGAGAGAGACAGAGAGAAAGGTCTTCCTTTTGCCATTTATTCACCTCCTAATGGCCGCTGCGGCTGGTGCACTGCGGCCGGCGCACCGCACTGATCCGAAGGCAGGAGCCAGGTGCTTCTCCTGGTCTCCCATGGGGTGCAGGGCCCAAGCACTTGGGCCATCCTCCACTGCACTCCCTGGTCACAGCAGAGAGCTGGCCTGGAAGAGGGGCAACCGGGACAGAATCCGGCGCCCCCACCGGGACTAGAACCCGGTGTGCCGGCACTGCAAGGCAGAGGATTAGCCTGTTGAGCCGCGGCACCGGCCCACAGATAAATTAAAAGAAGGAAGAGGAGGAGAAGATGAGGAGGAAGAGGAAAAGGAGGAGGAGAGAAATCAGGAGGACATTATAATGGTCAGGCAAGAGATGATGGTGGCTTAGCCTAAGGAGGTTGCAGTGGCCCCAGAGTGAGGGAAGTAGATTCTCAATACATTCAGCAGTATACACAACAGAACAGTACAGAGCACTCGGCGTGAGGGCAAGGGAAAGAGAGAAATTGATTGTCAGCTGTGACCAATTACTAGATGGTGAGAGAGCCAGGGCTATGGCATAGAAGGTAAAGCTAATACTTGCAGTGCCAGCATCCCATATGGGCTCTAGTTTGAGTCCCAGCTGCTCCACTTCCAATCCAGCTCCCTGCTAATTCACTTGGGAAAGCAGTGAGAGATGGCCCATGTTCTTGGGCCCTTGCACCCACATGGGTGACCCAGAAGAAGCTCCTGGCTCCTGGCTTTGGATCAGCACAGCTCCAGTTATTGTAGCCATTTAGGAAGTAAACAAGCAAATTGACAGTTCAGGGATTGGACATATAATATAGCTCTGAAAAGGAGGAGGGTAGGCCTAGCTAGGACCAAAAAGCTGCTATCTTGAAATCTTGTACTTTGTATGAGAATCAGTTAACCTTTGAGATCTCTGCCCTTCAGCCAGGCAACTGCCCCCTGCTGGTTGCAGAAGGAAATAAGACATTGGCTTTCTGAAGACAGTGGACTTCAGAGAGTTTGTACTCATACACCCCCACCACTGATTGGACATACTGGAAATAGAGGATAAAAAACACTTCGGCCGGCGCCACGGCTCACTAGGCTAATCCTCCACCTAGCGGCGCCAGCACACTGGGTTCTAGTCCCGGTCGGGGCGCCGGATTCTGTCCCGGTTGCCCCTCTTCCAGGCCAGCTCTCTGCTGTGGCCAGGGAGTGCAGTGGAGGATGGCCCAGGTGCTTGGGCCCTGCACCCCATGGGAGACCAGGAAAAGCACCTGGCTCCTGGCTCCTGCCATCGGATCAGCGTGGTGCGCCGGCCGCGGAGCGCCGGCCGCGGCGGCCATTGGAGGGTGAACCAATGGCAAAAGGAAGACCTTTCTCTCTGTCTCTCTCTCTCACTGTCCACTCTGCCTGTCAAAAAAAAAAAAAAAAAAAAAAAAAAAAAAAAAAAAAAAAAACACTTCGTAGTTAAGAGACAGGATTCCTTAGTGAACTGATCCATCCCCAATCACCAACTATCCCAATCCCATGGGTAAAGTCAACCTTTGTAAAGCCCTATGCATGCACATGGTAATTTCAGTGTTGGCTATATGTGGGATCTTCAAAACGTTCATGAAAATGCTCGTTATAAATCAAACAGGCATGGATTTCAAAAATGTTTGCACTGGGGCCACTATCATATTACATCTGGTTAAGCCGCTGGCCGCATCCCACATGGGAGCATCAATTCAAGTCTCCGCTTCTCATCCAGCTCTCTGGTAATGTGCCTGGGAAAGCAGCAAACATGGCCCACCTGCTTGGGTCCCTACCAGCCATGTGGGAGACCCAGGTAGAGTTTCTTAGCCTGGACTAGTCCCAGCCGTGGTCATTTAGGGAGTGAAACAATGTATGGAAGATTGCTCTCTCTGTCTCTCCCTCTTTTTCTGTCGCTCTGCCTTTCAAATAAATAAACATCATTTTTTAAAATGTTTGCACCAAAATAAACTTATCTTTTAATGCCATTTTCCCATGGACTTTTTGAAGTTCTCTCATATGTCTTTCCTTAAATATGATCACACAGTAAAGGAGCAAAATAAACAAATTTTCGAAAAGAAGGCCAGGCACTTGACATAGCAGTTAAGATGTGGTGAGGACTCC